TCTTCCGAAAGGGAAGACTCCGCCAGCCAGCTTCTCCGAGTGACCTGGCAGCCGTTGCAGGAGTCTGGCAGTAGCCCTAACTCCCTGAGGTGCCGCTGCGCTTTCCTGATGCTATGGTTCTAAAGCTGTTTACGTCTCTCCGGGCCTCTGTGCCTAGGCTAAATCCCCTCCTCCTCTCATCATTTGCTCGGTGCGTGTTTCGCACAGGGGTGCAGTTGGCTCGGAGGATGTGGTTTTATTTCTTTACACTTACCGTGTGGGCTTCCTAACTGGACACACTATAACCCAGCGAAGTGCACATCCATCATCCAGGCTGCAACAGAAACTACTTACTGTGTATAAAACAAACACACGTGCTGAACAGCTGAGCAGGTCTGACTGTTGCAAATCATCCCTCCTCTTCAGCACCCTGTCAGAAATGGAACGCTCAACTCGCACTTTCACTTTTTGACGGTTGTAAGTGACCCTTCTTCCCAATTTAACATTTTGAAATCAATCAACAGGATTTATTAGTCGTTCGCTGGGGATTTGCTCAGGTCTCCCGGGACACATTTGTCATGAAATGGTGCGCAGAAAGCCTGGGCGACTGTATGAGGGAGAAAATTTCTTCCCGGGAATGAGTTTAAGTGTGAATTTCTTGGTGAAAACAAAACCAAAAATTTATAAGAGTTATAGACTTCTAAAGTTTGCTGCTGAGTGAAAGCAGCCTCTTCCAGAAATGGATTTTTGAGGAGAAAATATTGGAGTAAAACAATGTAGACCACGTGGTCCACTTGAATCAGATGTGACATTTTATTTCTTTGATCTGTCCCAATCTCTGCGTGGGTTGGAGGGAGAATGGAGCTGGGAGCGGTGGGTAGGATCTTATTGTCAAAAGCACTTGTTTCAGAATCGAAGCAAGTGCGAACTAGGATCAGAAACCTGAAAACAAAATTACATATAAATATATGTGGCATATATATCTTTTCGCCTCCACTTCCACTTCAGACAGGGCGGTGTGAAGACAGTGGGAGGATGCTCTGAAAGTTGACCCAGCCGTGAAGAGCCGAGCCTCTGTACTGCTGCGAGTTCCAATCCAGTCGCGGAAGGAAGGAGGGCGCTGCTACATTGTATCCATTCAAAGGCTGGAGGTGGGGGGAGCAGGACCTGGAGCCGCGCGGCGCTGACGCACGCGAGGCGCGTGATTGACGCAGGCGATGTTACTAAATTCAGCGGTTGGCCGGGCCCCGCCGCCGGCGCGCGCCGCAGATAGCGG